ACCACGGGATTGTGCTACTGACACCATATTTATGTAAAATACAAGACATACTGTTTTCTAACTAGAATCTTCCTCCTTCTAGTCAGTGCCTAAATGCGAACATCTGGATGACCCCAGGTATGATCACGGGGTGGAGCTTGGCGCGAATGGAGCAGACATACAACATACTGATCCCAAACCTGAACCCTATTAAGAAAACTTGGAAGTAACTCAGGGGACTTAGCAATAAGCACCCCTAACACACACCCTGAAATCTGAAAAGTTGCTCATTCTCTCCAAACAATGAAGTATCCTCTCACGATGTCTAAAGAGCATCTCTTTGATCCATTTGGCAAGGCAGCTGCCACCTGGCATGACTAGCTCATAGGCCACCCGTCAGGCTCATCCCACACTAACTTGGAAGAAGGTTTGAATTCTGTAGTAGATCTGGTATCAGGAATCTTCATTACCATCTAGGGAAGACAATTACTCGTCGGTTCTTTGGGGATGTGAGGTACTGAGTGGGAGAAGTGTTCTGTTTCTGAATATGACCACAAGCATTGGAGCGCTCAGGAAGAAATGCACCTCGGCAACATCCTCAACACCTCATCACTAACAATTTCAGGAAGCCACAGCCATTGGAGAACCAGAAAGAGGCCATTTCTTTAACTGCAACAACCCCACACCTCCCAAGCTGGGCTCTACTAAATGTCCTTTATCATTTACCTCATATACAAACCACGGTCTATGTTCACTTAGCTTCTAGGAGCCATTTGCCTGAATTCAGCTCTTTTACATTTGGCCTTTTTTCATGCTTAAGTTGGTAGAGATGAATGATGTTAGTCATTATGCCTCCAAGAGTCACCATTGCATATGGCTAGCATGTCGACTGGCTGGATTATTTATAGGTACTTTTGGTAAGCCCTGTACTATTGTAGTTTGGACTCAGCACCAAAACTAGAAAATCTAATAATGGCTTTCTAACATCTTGCGATGGAATTTTTGGCTCAAAAACATTTTTGGGTATAGGCCTCAACACAGCTTACATTACTGATCATGCAATGCACCTCTTGCCCTTCACCTGGTGATGTGAAATTCTTCTCTTAGTCCTGATGCTTCAAAAAGGCCTTAAATACCACCACCACCTCCCAATTTAACAGTGTAATACTCTCTATTTCTGAGTCAGGATCAGCAAACTCTGGCCCATGGGCCAAATCTGACCAGCTAGCTGCCTATTTCTGTAGATAAAGTTTTATAGGAACATGGCTGTGCCCATTCATTTATATATTGTCTGTGGTGGCTTTCATGCTACAGCCCCAGAGCTGAGGAGTAGCAACAGACATCTGGCCTGCAAAGCCTGAAATATTTACTATTTGGACCTTTACAGGAAAAGTTTACAAAGCCCCTGTTATAAAGCATGAGGAAAACAAACTGCTTATTCAGAATAGCCTTCTCCTTCTCTTCTGGACCAAAGAAAATAAAGCAAGAAAACAACCCTGACCCAAGTGACTAGTTCTTGCATATACTACTTTGCATGAAACCTGTTCTCCGTTGTAGTGTCTTCTGAAATAAGATGCATATAAGATGTGAAATACCTAAGAAAAATTTAAATAACAAAAATTCTGGAATGACATATATATTTTTATATAAAATATAAATTTACATAGGGGCACCTGGGTGGCTCAGTTGGTTGGGCATCCAACTCTTGGTTTCGGCTCAGCTCATGATCTCAGGGTCCTGGGGTCAAGCCCCGCATTGGGCTCTGCATTCTGTGTGGAGTCTGCTTGTCCCTCCTCCTCCCCCTCTGCCCCTCCCCATGCTCTCTCTCTCTCTCTCTCAAATAAATAAAATCTTTAAAATACATATATATTTATGTAAAAATATATAATAAAAATATGTATATTCCTCCCGAATTTTTATTTAAATTTCTTTTCAGTATTTTATATCTTCTATGCATCTCATTTCAGAGAACACTTTGTAAAATATATATTTATTTAGGGGCGCCTGAGTGGCTCAATTAAGTGTCCGACTCTTGATTTTGCCTCAAGGTCATGATCTCAGGGTCATAAGATCAAGTCCCATGTCAAGCTATGCCCTGGGCATGGAGCCTGCTTAAGATTTTCTCTCTGTCCCTCCCCACTCTCTCTCTCCAAAAAAAAAAAAAAAATAAATAAAATTATATATATATACACACACATATATATTTTTTAAATATATATGTAAAAGTATATATACTTTTATATATATCCTTTTTTAATGTACTTTAAAATATATATATATTTCTTTTAATCAAAGCAAGTTCTAAATTTGCTCTTTTGGGGATACAATAAAACTTGAATTGAGTTTTGGTCACATGGAGTAATTTGCAAATCTTAGAAAAGAAGGGTAAAAGGAATGTGATATAACAGATGACTGGTCAGCAATGAGAATAAAGTGAAGTAAAGATAAAGAATAAAAAGCATATCTTTGGGGCACCTGGGTGGCTCAGTCAGTTAAGCATCTGCCTTCAGCTCACGTGATGATCCCAGGGCCCTGGGATCAAGCCCTGCATTGGGCTCCCTGCTCAGTGGGGTTCTACTTCTCCCTCTGCGCCCCCATGCTTGCATGCTCTCTCATGTACAAGCTCTCTCTCTCTGAAATAAACAAAAATATATATATAAAATATATTATATATAATATATATATATATGTATATATATATATATATCTTTCAATGTATAGCCACACCCAGGGTTTCAAAGAGAAACTCTTTCATTCATATGCAGAGAGAGAGGGAGTGGATAGGGTAGTATCTTCTACTAGAATTTCATTCTGAATCCCTAATGTGCTTAATAATGACCTAGCTCCATCCAGGGGCCCATTCCCAGCACGTAACAATTCTAAGTCAGGTTACCATTAGACACATCCATAGGTAAAGTGAAGGAGTTTGGTCAAGGCATTCCATCCTCAACTTCAACCTTACCTAGACTGGAGCCCTTGGGGAAGGCTGTCTCAAAGTCATCAAAGGGTGTCTGGTACACACTCCCATTTAGTTTAGTCCACACAAAACTGATTTTCAGTGTTTTCAATTTACTACCAACATTTTGGGGAGATCTCTCCAAAATTTCTGAATTTTTGGTCCCTCTTGAGAAACCTGGGACCTGAGAACCCTAGTCGCCATGCCTGCAGGTAGGATCCCTTGAGCTGGTAGCAGCTATCCCATTCAAAGCGTGGGTGCTGTCTGGCTCCATACACTCCCTACCACTGCCTAGGGTCTACCCATGTCCTAAGGCTGAGTATCAAGGGCTGCCCCTTCTCCTTGGCACTGTTCATTTTCTCATGCCTGTCCTGCTTCACTCACTGAAGATACCAGCTCTGTAGGCATCTGAATTTTACCCCAGAACTAACATTTGACATGAGCTAATATATTTCCAAATATATTTGGAGTGATTTTTTTCTTTGTCATTCTTTGGTTCACGTGTATACTTTTCCCCTCCCTCTTGATTAGTGACCATCTACAGACATAGAGCACATGTATGCTTTGCCAGCAACTTACTACCATTTGAAAAAGGCCCTCCCTACCGTCATGGGCCATCATTAAAGACAACTGATTCTGCTGGGTCCCCTCTAATCCTTAGTTATTTATACTGACACTACAGCTGCATGCTAGACATCTTACCCCTAAAAGCAGCCCAAAGACAATACCTACAAAGAAAGCCTTAGTCATGAGGTAAGATACACTTTACATACAGAATGTTTGCCCATTAGAATCAAGGTACCCTTTTCTAGGGCGTAAATTAGAAGGAAGACTTCAGGGGCAATCACTTCCCTCCTAAGAAGATATTTAATCCTGTTGGTGACCTCTGAATGGGGTCTAGTGCCTCAAATTTAAGTCACTATAGGAAGTGGGTGATATGTAATAAATGTGCAAAACCTTCTATTTACACCAAGGATCTATCAACAGATGAATGGATAAATAAAATGTGGTATATGCATAGAATGGACTATCACTCAGCCTTAAGGAAGGAAATTCTGACACCTGCTACAAGAGAGGCAAATCTTGAAGACATCATGCTAAGAGAAATAAGGCAGTCACAAAAGGACAAATACTGTAGGATTCCACTTACAAGAGATACCTAGAGTAGCCTAATTCACGGAGACAGAAAGTGGGATAGTGGTAGCCAAGGGCTAAGGAGAGGAGAGAATGAGGGGTTCTGTTTAATAGGCACAGAGTTTCAACTGGAGAAGAAGAAAAAGTTCTGGAGGTGAATGGAGGTGATAGTTGTACAACAGTGTGAATGTACTTAATGCCACTGAACATTAATATGGTAAATTTTGTGTAATGTGTATTTTATGATAATAAAAAGAAAACAAAAGCCTAAGGAGGGTTTATGGGTGGGGGGAGCTTTCTACTGCTAGGTGAACTTATAAGCCCATAATAAATGTCACAATGTGACAATGCTCAGAGCGCAAGACGCGGCCTGAAAGGCTGGTCTGGTTCCACCTGACCTAGAGCGCCCATCCTAGAAGAGTATTCACTTCCACGCACAAGCAGAAACCTATCATAGGGTTGACAGCCTTACCAACTGGCAGCTTGGGGACACTACACCAAGAACACCTCTCAGGCAATGGAAACATTAACGTCCCAGATTTTTCCCAAGCACACACTAAATCTTGCGCTCTTATGCCAAACCATTCTTGGCACAGATATAACGGCAACATTCGACAGGTGTATCAAGTCTGGACACATAAAGAGGCTCTCCATGGAGAGGGGGACAATGGCTGTGGTGATGATGGGTGGATGGCAGCAACTCTGGACTCAGAGAGCAGGTACTGGCACCAACTCTGGGCACCATTCACTTCCCAAGCCGACCACCCGTCAGCCGAGCCAGCGGCAACTGCTGTTCTGCACCGTGCTTCTCAATAAAACAATAAGGTTCGACACAGCTTGGGCATGCAAGTGGGCAGAATCCTTTCAAGATGGTATGAAAGTCAAACTCAAGTAGGATGAGGTCGGTAAAGCAAAATTTACAGAGATGCTATAGGAGCATTGGAAACAGGCTTTTATTTAACAGAAACTTACACAAATTTGATACAAACCCTACATTATGCAAAGCTTTATCACAATTCTACACATTATAACTTGCGGGAGTTGGTTGGAGAGTGGGTTATTATTATAATTATTAGCATTTTGAAAAGGGACCTTTTCTATCAGAAAATGTCACCGAAAAGGGCTACAGGATACAAAGACACCCTTGGTGAGCTCCTCCCGGGACTGGCCTTGAATGAGAAAGCTGAAGGGGCTAGCAGGAAGTCTGTGCCATCCAATCTCCCCTTTCAAAGGCAAGAGAGATTCTCAAGCTCAGACCCATTTCAGTAACACGGACACTCAAGGACTCACTGACGGGAATATCCGGCGTTAGGCTGTATGTTCATGATGATGATTCTGCTTGCAAGTGAGGGAAGGTCAAGAGCATGGACATGCAGAAGATGTGGAATAGAACGGAGTAGCCTGGCCGGTCGGCCCAGCTCCGTCCCTAGGCCACAGACACAGAGCTGAATTAACATTTCTTAGGCCATCACGTTCACTGCCACCCACATGGCCACAAGGGAACATGTTAGAAAATGATCCTTTCTCCTTCACCCTCACGAGCAACTGAATTTGAGGCTTCTGTCACTCAGGTTGGCCTTCCTCGTCCTTGGAGACCCTCTAGAACTTTAGGGCCCCTAAAGCCAGCTCAGCAGAAGGCTCCCTCTGCAAGTCTCCTCTGGAAGTTGTTAGGTGACCAAATGAACATCATCTCAGCTGATGCATATTTTGTCATCTTTTTTTTTTTTTTTGCTCTTTCTTCACTGCATTATTTTAAACAAAGCTGTCTGTATTTGAAAATGTTGCCCTCGCAGAGATATGGTTAATCACTAGATGGAATTCCTTTCTGAACTAGGCCTCATCAGACATGACGACCAGAAGGCGAGCTGCTTATTGACATCCAGATAAATGGGGATTGCCTATGGGGAGGGGGGTGGGTAAAGGAGTTTTTTTGGCAGGGGGCAGGGGCGGAGAGACTGCTGGTAGCCTTTGTGGCTAATTTATTTCGGTCACGTCTTAACACATAACCACATAACATCACCAACACTTTCAATAGAATTTTGAAGAAGGAAAAAAAAAAACCAATCACTCCTCACTTACCACATCCAACTCGCAGAAATAAAAATATCTAAAGCACATACATGAATGGCTTTTTTAAAAGCCTGAGAGAGCAGAGTTGATCTTTATTTTCTTATTAAAAATGTGGGGTATTTTTCCTTAGAGTTAATATGCAGTCTTTATTTTACATTAAGTACTCTTTTGATTTCGTGTCTTCACAAAATTGCTTTTAACTTTCGAAGTAGAAGGTACTTTAAACAAAAATACTGTGCCACGTCAGCACGTTTTTCTTTTAAATATTGAAATAAATAAAATAGTTAACTCTTTTTTTTCCGTCAGTTTGTTCGTGTTTAGTTATTTCTATTGTAGAGCAATTCCAGTCTGACCTGGGTACTTTCTCACAGACACTTAAAGAAAATGTAATGAAGAATTTTTAAAAAGGAAAAAAAAAAATCTTCTTATTGCACAAACTTAGGCCATTCCCGAGACTTCTCTGAGCTGAGCTGAGTCGCGCTGGAGGCGTTTCCACAATCCAGGCTCCTGTGTTGGCTGAAACACACGCACAGGAGGGGGCCAGGCAAGGGAAGAGGAAGGAGGAGAAGAAGGAGGCACAAATCAACGTGGCTTCTTGTCACTCTCTTCGGAAATGGCTTGCTTGGAGGATGCCGGAGTCCCCAGGTCATAGAGTTGACTGCAGAGGGAAAGGCAACAAAAGATAAAACAAAAACAACAGTACAGGACAACTACCTAAAGAAAGGAAAGATTAAAATTAAGGGGGTGGTGGAAATGAAATGAATTGAAAAGAAAAACAAAGGAAGGAGGGAAGAGAACGTACTACCTATGGCCATGCTAATGAGACCACGGCCATGTGCAAGGAGAGCCAGGCCGGTGTCTCCTGTGCCGTGAGCACCAGCAGCACGAGATCAGCCAGCAATCGGGCAGGTCAGCTGCGCCTGGACAACCAGGTGACACAAGAAACAGCGAGGATGCGGCTGCAGTTTCAGTCCCTAGGTGGTGGAGTAAGCAAAACTGGGGACTGGCAAAATCTATTGTTCTTTCTCCTCTACTTGGAAGCTGCATCTTTCCGCTGTTAAAATACCCCAGAAGGACCATTACGATGCAATCTGTCTGCCTGTCACCTAAGTGGAAATGTGTAGTTCCAGGGTGTAGGACCAGTGGCAGTTACAAAAACCCCAACGGATGCCCCACTGGGGCCTGAGGCTTCATGCACACACCCTCACCCCCCAACCCCAAGTGATTTCAGGCTGTCAGAATTACTGAGGGAGAGAACCAAGCCCAAAGATCCATTCGAGTCCTGAACTAGCCCAGTGATCCCAACTGCCAGCCTTGGAACCTGGTGGCAGTTCAATCCTGACGGGTCTTTTAGCCAGGATAAGTACCAACCAGGAGTGGATTTTACTTCTAGCCAAAATGAAATCTGCCAAGTTATTTCAGTCTTCGGAATGGAGTATTCCTCACAAAGGAGAAAGCACTACAACCAAGTACTATCACATTTCACCCCAGAAGCAGAGGACATAGCTGGGCACCCCTAAACAGTGCCCAGGTCACGTTGGGCTGGGTGGTAAGGGAGGGAGGAAAGGAAGGAGGGGCCCAACTTGAAAATGGCCAAGGCTTTGAACTTTGAACCAAAGTTCAAAACCAAATGAGTGGCTCGTTTGAACCCCCCTTCCTCCATCTTTCTTTCTAATACCCAAGGCATTACTCACTGTTCAGGGGTACAAGACTGGTATAGATACTTCCAAAACTAAGACTCTATCTGTCTACTTAATGTTTTCAAAGGGAGGCTGAGAAGAGCCTCACCTCTACCCACCACCAAGCCCTCCCCCTCCATCTGCTCCTATTTCCTTCCCCTCCCTCCCATCCTATACCCTCCCAGTCTCCCCTCTCAGATCTGCTTGCCTGGCGCCCTTTCCCAGACTCTGGTCCTCTTCCCTAGCGCTCATCTCTTCACTGTGCCTCCTGCTTCCAGCCCCTTCACTCCACTGATAAAACTAGTTGGCATTCAGACTTCCCACAGGTGCCTGCCAAGTGTTCCCTTATTGGGCACCCAAATTTTCACTCCCTCCGGAAGGCTTTCTGTGCCTCTCCCAGTGCTCCCGAGCCCTCCAGTCAGATATCATCTACTACTCTTTTAGTGAGTCTCTCATAACCATACCCCGATGCCCTTTCAATCTCAAATTTCCCTCCTTGACCCCCCAACACACACACACACACACACACACACACACACACACACTCACACACATTCACACACACTCACACACACTCTTCTTTTGCCCCACTTAAGCCACCTAGAAAATAGTTCCCAAACTTGTGCTCCTAACATCCATTTCCTCCTTCATTTCCTCTGGGTGGGCCAAATACAGGCTATTGAAAATGTCCCACTGCCTCTCAGGCTTCTGCTTTCAGTCCCCTTCAAGGAAGCTACCTTTCCATCCCTCCACACACCTTCAACTTTCCCCTTACCCCTCTCCTCACACCCTCATTCTCCCTCCTGACCCCCCATCACTATTTCACTGGCTCCTGGAGAACCAGCCCCCTTCTGATTTGACCAATGGATGCTGTGTCCAGATATGTCCTCTCCAACCTCTCTGTCCACATTATTTATTGAGCATCCAACCATGTATGGAATGAGACACTAAATCCTTCCACTAATTAGCTCAGAAATATTGCTCAGCTCTCAGTTTATTTCAACAAATAATTATGGCACAATGGTGTCAGGCACTGTCCAAGGGACATGAATGACATCATCTTTGCCCTCAAGGAACACACCATCTGTTGAATGAGAAAGACTACAGTCATGTTATGTTAAGCACCAAACTAGTGGCATGAACAAAACACGACAGCACAATACTTCAGCATGTTTTTCACTTGTGATTTTGCCATGTTACATGGTTCAGGTTGTGATCTCCAGCTCTGCCTTTTGTTAGCTCCATCTCCATCCTCTCTGACAACAGACATTCTTGCCTACAGATTAAATAGCAAGAGCCAATCTAGAGCCCTCAGTTGATCTGGATGGCTTCCTCCAAGCAAATCTCCCTGACTACTGTGATGCCCAGCAAAAATAATCACATACTACCCCATGATGCTCTCACACATTTTTAACTACTTGTGAATATCTGGTCTGCCCAACTAGATTGCCAAAAATCCAGTGGACACCAAATCCACTGGTCCCATCTTTAACTTCAGCCTAGTCTTCACAGGGCTGAGCAGTCAAATGCATGCCACTGTTATTCAGGCTCTAGTCACCAAATAAATAAAGGCATATATGAATGAAAATGTGTATAAACATACTAGCCTGAACCTGAGCTGAAAGGACAAATGTCTGAGTCACCAATCATGGGATAAATCAATCATGTGCCCCCAGATATGAGGCCCTGAGAAGGATGCAACATCATTTCTATAGTACTCTTACCCAAATTCATAACCTGACTGTAGCCCTTAGGAAACAGTACACAAACCCAAAGAGAAGGGCTTCCTAGGAATTGACTAGCATCAAGGTATGAAAGATAAAGACAGACTATGGAACTAACTACTCCAGATTAAAGGGCTTTAAGAGGACATGACAACTAAATACGACATGTGATCCTAGATGAATCCTGGACCAGAAAAAGGGCATAACTAGTGAAACCCCTGGCACAATATGAATAAGGTCTATAGACTGGGAAGTATTGCATCAATATTAATTTCCTGATCGTGATCATTTTATTGAGATTATTTGAAGAATCTAAGTAAAGCGTACATAGGAATTCTTTGTATTATTTGTGTGAGTTTCTTGTAAACCTGAAATTATTTCAAAATTAACAATTTTTAAGCCTTAGTCATTGGTTGAGGGCCAGTATGGAGATACTTTGAGAACCTAACTGCCAATGCTTTTTAGCGAATAATTCAGTTCTGACAGTGTTCTTCCATCATTCTCAGCTATTTTGTAAATCAATCAAGCAGAAGGGTTTCTCCTGTACTGTTATTTTGAGAAAATGGTCAGAAATCACTTTTATTGAGCAAAACAGTATCATATAATTCAATTCTTCAGTGTTAGAAGCACTGGGCATGTGAAGTGTTCACTCCCTGTCACCTCACCCCTCCCACCCTCACCCCCACCCCAATATCACCACCAAAACATTGCCCATGTAAGAAGCGCAACCTTAGTTCCTTGGGAAAGTTCACAAGGACTTCAACATTGCTATTTCTCAGCAGGAATCTAATGTGAATTTGTTTTGTTTTATTTTGTTTTTATAGCATCAAATACCTCCTCTCAATCCAATGAGGTCTTGAATGAAAGACCTCAAAAGCTTTACTCATTTTACTCAATAAATCTCAAAATACGATCTATGGAGAAGTCAGTATAGACTGGGCAAAGATTATTAGAAGACCCAAATAACCACTTACTGAGCCTGGTGAGGCTGCTCAAACTGTAAGTACAAGTTTAAGATCATATTCATCAGATGTAACAGGAGGCATATTGGGATAATATTAATTAATTTTATTCCACCATGAAGTGAGTACCTCCAAACAGCTTTTAGTTCTCTCCCCGAGTAATGATCTTGTGTTCCCTCAAGTGCTATCTAAAGGCAATATCAGGCTGCAGCCCATTAGGTGCATAGAGAGATACCAAGTAAGCAGGAAGGTTTAAAGGGGTACAATTGATGTGAACATCATATTTTTATGAAATCCTTCTCTCTAAAATACCAGTAGCAAATTGCATTACTGACTTTAAAGTACCTTTAAAAAATTAAATGCATATTTCTCACTCCCAGTGTTACAGATTACGGGACCTGATCTCTACACAGTCTCAATAACAGGAATAAAGGATTAGATTGTTCTAGGTGGGAAAAAAAAATCAGATAGACAACAACAGTCATCACTTTTACATCAACAGTTCTCCCCACGGGATTGGAAGTTTGTAACAAATTTAGAAAGTTCTGTATCTTCGGTTCTCCTATCTTTGGGCTAAGACTCAGAAAATTTGGTGACATGTCTAAAGCATTTTGGGTGGTGCTTTCCTGAGCTGAGGACAAAGGATACTAGTCAGATCTTTGATTATCATCTTGATGACTCTAATTTCTTTTATATTGAATTTGAGTAGTGATACTTATTTAACAAGAGCAGCAACAAAACGATAGATGTGTTGACTGCAGGCACAGCTCTTGCAACTCCTGAGGTCACGCACACACACACACAAAAAAAAGTCTTCGTTCCTAATAGGTGTCAGTCAGTAGGGAATGTCTAGAAATGATGATTTAGAAGATGAGCTCTCGGCAATATTCAGCATAGAAATTTAATCGGAATTGTCTTTTTGGGATCTAGTTGTTTACTCTTCAGTTTTAAAATTGCTTTTAATAAGTTTATCTTTTAAAGTTATATTCATTACAATACCCCTTTCTTTGATTGGACCTGAGAAAAAGCGAGGGATACCAATCTACCTACCTATCTATATCTTCCCCTCTTTGACCAAGTATTAGTTGCAAAAGGAGTATTAGTTGAAAGAAGTGCAGCCGAAACCATAACCAAAAGAAGCATTATGATTGCAGAAAAATCTCAAGGAAATGTACTGCAAGCAACTGTAGTAGCTTGTTGGATTGGGCTCTAAAGGAAAGGGTGGAGAGATTCAACCAGTTATCATGAAAGTGTGAAATAAAGTTCTTCTCCCAGAAAACAGAGGCGCCAAAGTAGTTCTAGATGCCAAGGATTACTTTTTATTTAGAGACGATGGGTGACATTGTCGGGAAGTACGTAGATTGAAAAAAAATCACTATTGAAATGGCATCACAGGAAGCTGCCCATTCCACTGAAGTTCTGAAAGCTTACATCATGTAAAGAATTTCCATGTTTCTCTTTTATAATAAACTAATGATACCCAAACTTTTAAAAATTATAAATAAAATTTTTTTAATATATATGTATTTAATATATTCCTATATTCCATATACAGGACCATGCAAGTGGCAGCACAGAACAATAATAAAGGAATACAGGTCCTGGAGTCAGGTTGCCAGGGATCAAAAGCTGGCTCCTTATTAACTGTGAGGCCTTAGGTACATTAAATGAACTGTCCTAGGGAAAGCACTCAGAACAATGCCTGGTACATAAATGTTGGCAGTTGTTAATATGGAGAAAGGGGGATAGAGGTAGAACATCGACCATGCAGGCATCTGGAAACCCAAGACAGCCAGCTTCCTCTCCTGTGCCTCCTCTGAGTTTCCTTCCTTCACCTTAAGACATTTGTCTTCAAAGCCACGTTCATTCCACTCCTTCAAACCTCACTCAACCTCTCTGGATTGATCTTTCTCAACAGAAAAGTGGAAAATTTGAACTTGATCATCTTCGAAGTCTCCTCCAGTTCCTTTTTGTTTTTTTAAAGGATTTAAAATCTGACAGATGCTATAAGCAAGGTGCGACAAGGTGCTCAGGCCATGCTAGGATACATTATTATGCTCGGTTGGCTACACCAACTGAGAAAGATGAGGACATCTACTACCCCCAAAAGGAGAAACTGAAGATCAAGCTCTGCTCATAAAATTAAAATAGAGAAGCATTTAGCCATCCTCGGATAAATCTTTCCATGGGAGACTGCCTTGTTTAGACAGGTCTTCATTTTGGTTCTTCAGAATCCCAAGTTAGACTCTGAAATTAGGTGGCTTTTTATAATTCAAATTAAGTAGATTTTTTTTTTTTAATTTCAAGTTCAAAGGCAAGCTGTCATTGAAAATGTTAGGACTACAAACAACTACACAGATTTTGAAAGACCATATAGATTGGCTGGACATATTTTTATTAACATAGAAGCTCACACTTCATCAATGACAGCAAGTCGCAATGCTGTGAATCCAACATCTAAGTCAAAGCAACAGAACAGATGATAAGGAGAATGACAGCAAGAGCAGGTTGTATCCCCTTAGCAGAAATCAACTGGAGCCGACCATATGGGCTTTTTCACACAGGTGAGCATGCAGGAATATTACAACATGGGAGGTTTATGCCATATTTGCTAGGAGCAGGGCCACATACAGATTAGGCAGAACATCCCCAAAGTGGGTGACGTTGTTCCTTTCATTATCTCACAACTGAGAGCAAACGCCCAGGCCAGCACTTACACATTTCAAGCAGGAGAAAAGTAGAAGTTCTTTCTGTCTCAGGCTACCAGGGAAGCACAAAGAGTCCATTTGTGGGTTTCTTTGCTTAGTCTTTGCTTTTGTTCAGTGGGTTTGTTATTTTAATGAGAGGTCTCATTCATGGAGATTTGCAAAGCCCGATGGTCAAAGTAGATCTTCCCAGACACTTACAAGCAGCCTGTTGCCTGGGTGGCTACTTGGCTCTCCCAACCCAAACCAAATAGCAGCGCCCATGTCTCTGGACCTGTGCTCTCCTGGAGGCCAGAGACCCTGACCACACTTAGAGGAAGTTTAGAATCTTCAGATCTGCGCAGTTGAGTGTTTTCCTAATCAGAGATCCTCTTTAATTTGGACACATCCCCTTGGCTATTAAGTTGGTCCGTGGAGCAAGGAATACCACCCCTAGACATGCAGACCCCCATGTAGCCAAACTCTCTCCTTCCACCCAAGTACAGTAGCCAGCTCCGACCTCAGATCCCTGGACTCCACCCACCAGGTACAGCCAAGGGAGGCAGCGTGAGCCAAGCACTGCCCCAGCCATTTTCTCTTATGGTTGAAGCCAGAAGCCAGAAGCCCACCATTCTCCACACAGCGTCCCTCCCGTAGTCCAAGCAAGCCTCGGTTGCCACACTAGGTCCAGGCCCACGTGGGTAAGCATGCACACACAGAAAGCTGAGCGAAGACACTCCACGCCGGTAGCCAGGCCCACACTAATAAGGTGGTGTGAACCCAGGAAAACAAAAGACAAGCCAGGGGTGGAAAAGGAAAGAAAGAAGACAAAAGAAAAGAAAAAAGAAAAAAGAAAAGAAAAGAAAGAAAGAAAAAGAAAGAAAGAAAGAAAGAAAGAAAGAAAGAAAGAAAGAAAGAAAGAACAAAAACAACCACCAAAAAAAAAAAAACAAATAACTACGATGGTTTTGCCCTCCCTGTAAGCCAGGCCAGCCAACACATACCTTTTGACTAGGACTGCACAGCTGTTCATTCTTGGGACTGCCAACAAGGTGGATGGTCTTCTCCATCGCCCAGGGACCTTGAGCAAGTGTTGCTTTGGTTTATTTCAGGAGGTGCTATTGGAAACATAAAACAAGGTGCCTGGAGGGCACTATAAAAAAAAAAATAGAGGAAGAAACACGGGAGACTTGATCATCCAACGGGAATTTATGTTTGTCAACAGGGGCCAGGGGAGAGGGACATATACTGTGAGGTATCATTCTTCCTTCCATGAGCACGGCCTCGGCTTGCTTTGTCACTGCTGAGTCCATGACTTTCTGTTTATATTCCATTCCTGCATTTGGAAATTGCTCTTCGCCAGGAGGAAAGTGAGGAGAAGCCCAGCGACTACACCACAGCAGCTATGCTGGTGGAGGGGAGGAGCCCGGGAGGTGCTGGAGTCAGGGCCCAGGCACTGGAGGGAGGCCACACGCGGAGGCCCAGACTTCCCAGGAGCTGCTGACATTTTCTCACAAGCAGGGAGGAAGATGGAAAGGTTAGGGAGCAGAAATGGGGAAGGGGTCTGCCGTAGGGAGCCACAGACTCCGTGGGGTACAGAAAGCACCATCATCTCCCAGCGAGGAAATCCTCCCGACTAGGTGTCCTTGAATCAATCCCTCCCCCAGCGGCTCTCTCCCAAGCAGGATATCACTTCAATTGCTTTGATTTGCTTTCTCTCTCTCTCTCTCTCTCAAAAAAAAAGGTCCATTTCTAATAATAGCTAGAATACATAAATAATCGTTTTTAATGTTATTTGTTGTTTTCAAACCCAATGTTCCTCCTCTCTTCATTTTGCCAATAAATAGGAAAACTGAGGAAATCGACTCTGCTCAAGTCAAAAAGATCCCCACCACCCATCCCCAAAGAGAGACAATCCACCTAACTTCCCATTTCTACGGAAAATTAACAGTACGTCCCAATGCCATCTCTCTGAAGGACTGTCATTCTGCTCTTTTGTTCTGCTTTGTTTCAGGAGTTTGTGCTTCTGTTGTACATACCCAAAACGGGGGGCGGGGGAGAGGATGCTTGTGGAAGGAGAGAGGAAAAAGCAAGGATGAAGGGAAAACCTAAAGTTGACTTTCATTTAAAAAAAATATATATCAGACCCAGAATAATGACCAAAGTCAGAGGGTGACGGCCAGTCGCCCAGAGAGTCTGTTCCGTGGGTTTAGCAACTGCCCTTTTTATCTGCTGTGGGCGAACCCCGGCCACTGCGGCGTCCTCGGCAGGAGCGAGGCTCTTCCAAATCGTCCTCATCAAAGCCGTGGAAAGTTGACGTGTCACTTTCTGACGTGGAACCGAATAAGTCCTCCGTGGTGCGTGCTGCGGCCGCTGCCTCCTCCTTCCTGCCTTCTCCTCCCAAATGAGCTGACATGTATGATGAATATATCAGCACATGGGTTAAGCAACAGACAGCATTATTAATATTCTTATTACATTCTTACAATGTTACTCTTAATAGCAAGACCAAAAACCATTTCACACCAAAAGGGATTAGCTGGGTGCATCACCTGGTGACAGGGATTCAGGGTAACGGGATAAAGCCAACATTTCCAGGGAAAAGGATTCCTCCCTCCCCAGAAAGGCATCATCTCTACCATAATGCATATGTCCACAGCTCTGACAGCGACAGATTCAACCGTGGTCTTTCTTCCTCCGCTTCCGTCTGCACACATACGCATGCACGCCTGCTCAACCCTGCCCCAGACAATGAGTTGCCTTGGTGGTTTTTAAGCCTGGTTGGTATTTCTTTGGTGTTTTCGGTTGGTGTTTCTTTGAACACTGTTTGTCCTTCACTTTGACAGTCAGCTTTACAAAGGTATTACTGTCAGATAACCCATTCAAGGTGGTTAAGCCTCCATCCGTTTTATTTTTATTTTTACCCATTTCTAATCCCATTCTTATGGCACCCTTTCAATTCTGCCCTTACCCACATAGTTCATTTGGACTGAAAGCGAGAAGTTAGAAAGTCTGATAAGCGGTAGGCAACAAAAGAGTCTTTTGTTTTCTTTAACGACTAGAGGAAATTTCGATGATCTGCATCCGCATACATGTGCGTGCACATACACACCTGTGTGTGCACACACGTACACGCACACACACACGCGTGCGCGTGCACGCACACACACACACACTACAGCCACTAAACACGCCCCGGTCTTAATTACTCCAGAAGGTCCAGAGTTGTCAAATCTAACTCAGAGCACTAAAAAAGCAGGAAATAGGGGTTTCGAAGCCTAATAAAATACAGTATCCTGAAATCCAGAAAACTCCGGTTTAAACTTATTCACACTGTAAATGGGCCCCAGGACCACCCCCGAATGAGGTCACAATGTTTCACTTATGGTGTCAATTTCAGGAACCTCATTTTCTCCCCAAGAAACAGAGGTAGCGGGGAAGATGAGAAGGGAAAGACAGTTTTTCTGAGCTTCACACTCTTCCTTGGAAGGATTCCAAGGAGACCCTAGAGAAATATTCGCCCACCTGCCTTCACGAGCATGTCTCGTGGGCTAATGCCGCCTGTTTATTCCCAAGGTAGTGACTATTTCAGGAGCATCGGAGTCAGACCTTGACTAAATCATCCACCAAAATTGGCAAATGCAATGAGAACACCTAGGCTGGTATCAAATAGCCCCTGAGTCACACAGCAGACAGATCTTGGGCGGGGGGGGGGGGGGGGAGGTGGTGGTAGGAATGCTGAATAAAGGCTGGGAGGAGAGAGGCTTTGGATAGACAATACGAACTGCCCACGTCTGGTCCCCCGTGGATCAGATCCAAGTACCCCGTCGTTTGTAGGGAAGAAAAGGAGAAGAGCCAAGCAGCTTGCAGTGAGCATTCTGAAGCTGCCCTCTCTAATGCACCCCAAACCCATAACAGTCCATCACGTTCTGCCTAGAATATCACTCCACCAGGTGACTTTGCTTCTGGCGATAGAGATTTTGTCCGATCATTTGCTTTTAAAAAACACTGAATTGAATTTCACTTGTTTCATTTTCTTTAATTATGTCTAAAACTATTCATTTTCTTTAACGTATTTAAAACCCGGAGTGCACTGTCACATGAGCCCTCTCCTCTCAGCTAGCACCGGCAGAGTAAAGAGTTCAACGTTAGGTATCATGTTTGGGAAACAAATGAACATGGATGGGCCAGCCCAGTCAGGTCCTTAAGAGCTCACTGCTGAGGGTGTGTGCACTAGAGACCACAGTCCTTTTCCAATTACTGATTTGCTACTCAAGTCAGTCTGGAACCCTAAACAACCCCAAAAACAAATATAAAAAGACTGAAGTTCAGGTTTGCAAGCAAAGCAAGGGAAGAACTGAGTTGTTTCAGTAAACTCAGGTGCGGTCACCTCAGTCTGTCTCCTGGGCCTCAGAGCAGAAAAGACCGTGGGAGAAACATGGGAAGGAGCAATGGCCTCTCACTGCTACACCAACCACCCAGCTCAACAGCATCTCACCCACTAGTCAGCACTGGGCCAGACTAAAGATGAAGCTGAGATCATTTCTCCTCCCTGCCTCATGCTTTGGCTTCACTGACACATCAAACAACATGAAAAATAGGTCTCACCAACCAACCACGACTAGCCAAAGATAATGGTTTGGTTAGAATTGCAAAATGAAACATCTTGAACAAAACTTTGAAGGCCTGAACTCAGTTTAAGAATGAGAGAACAAGACCCAAATCTGTTTTTGTCATTTTAGTCTTTGGAGAGGTCAAAGATGAAAATTACAAAACATGCCAAGTCAACTCCAGATCAGCCCTGAGAACACCTGCCTTTTGGCCCCATTGATCTATCAGGGTCTCTTTTGTCTGTTTTATATGGGAAAATGGGATGAGTGGCCAATGGAGGTGGTCTTTATGCAGGTGCCCATGAGCCCTGGGGCCTCAGACTCCCACAGTTCAAGACGTGGCTGTTCTCCCTACATTCATGTTTCCATACTCTTCCAGGATGCCCTAGGCACTTCCATAGAACACACACATCTCTTTGCTAGGTGCACACCATCTGATACGAGGAAGCATGTTGCTTGTGTCTCCAGGTGTTTCTTAGATACTACCTCACTGTTGTGTGCCACAATACACACAAAGAAATAACCACCTCGTGGAGAGGCCAGACATAAGCCAAAAGCTCCTTTCCCCTCTTCCTACAGCCCAGGGCACAACTTTTGGTTCTTAAGACTCAAAGAAGAAAAATATCAAAATGACCTGAAAACTCCTCTCCACCCAAAATCACCACCATGTCTTCTCCACTCCACCCTTCAGCCCCCACACAAGATGGCGGAGGCATGCAAGTGGAACAGCTCCTGGTCTATGGGCACAGATGCAAGAAGGGGCCACACTCACCAGATCGTCCACAGTCTGCACAGGATACCAGCTCTTCAGGCCGCCCACTCTTCTTGTTCATATTAGAGCCCCCCAAGCAGAAGTCACAGTAGTTGTTGGGAATGACTGTCCCATCCGGTCCTTTCTGGGCTATAGAAACATTTAAAAAAAAAAAAAATCTGATTTTAGGCTGACATGAGTTTCTACTGGCCCTTTAACTCCCACGGAGTGGCAGAATCTGTTCTAGAAAGAATATCAAGTCTAGAACGCAAGGTTTCGTTACAACCAAGTTGTTAAATTGGGCTAAGTTTTCTTTTTGATCCTCTTCAGCTCAATAGTTCTAATCTCTTGCAAGCCATCCAGAGTTTAGTTTAATTTCGGCAATTTTTGCAAAACCCATCTCGGTGTTTTCACAGAAACTACCTTGCTCCTCAGATTGCATTCCCTGGATGAGCAAAGCATCCAGAAGGCCTACTAGTCAAGTAAACTTCTCTCATCCCTGAACAACCAGCTCTTGGGGCTTAGGCTTCAAATAGCAGGTAGTAACCATAACCAGCGGTGGGATGAGTGGGAGAGAGAATGGGCAAAGCCTAGGCCTTTCCCCTGGGAAAGATGCTCTTGTTTGGGAGATATTCCTTCTGTCCCTGAAAATGAAAACAAAGAAGCACTGATAATAGTCATTTCCAGAAAGGACACTGAAGATGCTTCTGGGGACTCTGATGAACATCTTGGCAGGTACACAAGTGTCCACTCTTGTTCAGCCTCATCTCCCTAAAGTCAGACTCGCATGTATGGAGAGAACCCAGGACTAGTTAACCAGCAGACCTCAAGGGCCTAGAATCAGACCTGAGCACTCAGCTCAGCCTCATGCCAAAGACAAGTTGAATGGTGAGTTTGTGAGTGTGCCTTAAGGCTTAAGACCTTTGTAAGCCACCCCTGCCAAAGGTCCTTATCCAAAGGCAAAGAAAAATCTTGGGACATGATCTTAAAAACAAAGCTTGTGAGAACAGCACATATTCTCAAGCACTGAAATCATTCTCAGTTCCTAGGGGCTGGCTGAAAAAGCTTGGACAGGTTTCTTTGCATGGGGAGAAATGCCTCCATTCTCTTGCTTTTCGATCCCTATTGTGGAGATTTCTTTGTCACATGAATACTCCCTGTTTGCAACTAAGAAGAAAAGTCTGTCTGTTTATGGGATCAGCCTAAACCACAGGGGTATCTTCCTCCTCACTATACCCAATGTCTGCTGCTATCTTTCATTATTTACTGGCTAACATTAATCAGGGTCCCGTAGGGTACAAATCTGTAAAAGGAAGCAGATATGTGAGCAGAAATACCATCCAGACAGTAAGTGATAAACGGATTCACCCACTTTAATATGATTCCCTCTGGCCTTCACTTCCTCCATGCCTCTGCTTTGCCTCCAGGAATAGAAAAACTTACCTGGGGAAGGCAGAAGACAAAAGCTCGCAGAATTACATTATAGAGAGTTAATCCATTTATCAGTTGCTATTTGGATTGTTTAATCAGTTTCTAAGTCATTGATTTTCATCTTCAGGGAGGCAGACAACTCCCTGCAAAAAAAGGTGTTGGCTGTTGGGGTCAGCCGGAGGAGCTGACCGCACCCTGTGGCCTCTTGAGTGTGGGTTTTTTCTTCATCACTCACTGCATCTCAAAGACATCACAGGTCATCAAGAACGGTTTTGCAAATAATCTCCAAAATCAGTACACCTACAAAAATTGTACTCTAAAATTTTCGTTGCCCAAATCCAGAGGAAAGCTCCTTTCATCCTTCTCTCTCACTTGCCATCTTCCAACATTTCTAGAACTCTCTTAAGAAAAATCAAAGCATGTCTACGAAGCAAATAAACTCAGGGTTTTCTCATTAAGAGACTATCCTAGAACGCAATCAAAAGGTGAACAGGAAGAAGTGGGGTATATGAAATTTCGGGGCTGAGTGTAAACCAAAGTGATAGGAACTAGAAAGAAAATATGGAGATGCCAATCACAACTCAGATAGCTTCCCACATGAAAAGCGATCAAAGACGTCCACGTGTATCACACCACTAAAAGTCTCAGGAGCCCCAGCCTCACCATCTGTCTCTCCTGTTCTTTTAGGGACTTCCTATTATGTCAGATTTTCTCTCCTTTCACAAAATCTTTAAGCAACCGAAGAATCTGGTTTTCTCCAACACAGTGTATGCCTTGTGATTTATGAGGATGAAGTAGAATAGAGTATAAGAACTCCCGGGTAATTCTTCACAGTCTTTCCCGCCAAGAGATCATTGGTAGAATGCCTTCATTGAATCAGGGACTCCAATACTACAAGAAGTTAAAAATTCAGAAATGATCTAGGAGGGCAAAGCAGGTAGTGATAGAGAAATTGGTCCTGTGTAAAAAGACCAAAGGAACAGAATTTAATTCATCTAATGAAGAGAAATTTCTGAGAAGACGGAATCAGAGCAGAATCCCCACATATATTTGTATTGGTTGCTGGCCATACAAAGGGCCTGGCCAAGGGGGTAAAGAAGGTGCTAAGACCCCAGTTGTAGGCCCTGCTGTGTGGAGATGTGACACGTCATTGCTGGGGAGAGGGGAGGGGTACGATTTTAGTCTAGCAATGACCCAGTAGAGAAAGTGACAGTGAAGAGTTATGCTTCATTTTTGGCAAAATCCTACACTCTTCTCATAATAGTGAACTCAGAGCTTCCTTTCATCTTGGTCAAAGGTGTGGGATAGACTAATCAGAAGCTTCTGCATCTGGTTCTCTTATACGTTTTGGTATTTAGGATTGGTTTCAGGGTGAGAGTTTTCCCATAGAGTTCTCCCAATTCCCCAGCCAGAAAGATCAGTCAGGCCTTGGGGAGGGCACCCTGCTGACATCACTTTTATGACCCTTCTCTTGTTCATACCCGTGTGTACCTGCCTCAACTCCCTGTACTAAATGATCTCCTCCTTCAGGTTGGGCACCATGTCTAACTCATCACTGGAATACCTGAATGCCCTGCACACAGGAAATGGTTAACCACAATGCAGAGGATGAATGGCTTAGAAAGGATGGCAGATGTGAGTAGACAGCCCAGTGACACCCCTGGGACATCCCTCCTGGTGGGGACAGAGCACTGTGTTTGCTTTCCCTGTGGTAGAGTCACTCTGACTATCATTCACTACATGGTTTATTTCCCAAGTCCTCAGAGAGAAGTGCTGGTCCATGTCCAGATGGATTGGTCAGTCATCCGGCCTGGTGTCATGTCTAGCTCCCAGAGTAAACAAGAGCGGGTGGTGTACACAAATATATAAGAAAGGATAAGACTACAATTCATTGTCCAGGTTGCTCCTACCCATACAGCCTCCCTCTTATTCAACGGTTTCTTGAAAAGAAAAAGAAGCAGACATTTCCTACACTACAAAACTGTGACAGACCTTCCACTGGATGCTTTACATATGTTGTTTCACTGATTCTCACAAAAACGTTGTGAAGTGGGGATTGTTTGAAGATGACATAACTGAAACCCAAAGGGATTATGGGGCTGGCTTCACCTTTGGGTTTTCTATGTCCCCAGAGACTGTCTGCCTCCTGGAAAGCCCAGAGGCAAACACTTCCTGGCCATACCTCGCATATAAAATATTTCATAAATCTCTTTAGAGTCAACTTGATTCACCCAACACGTCATTTAGGAAGCCCAAAGGGATAAAAATGATTGAGACTGGCCTGATAAAAACAGAAATTCCCTTTGAACTTAAATTTCATGTCCCTCCCACAGTAATCCATCCTGGGTGATCCTGTTTATTGTCACATACTCTGTGAAAAGACATCTCCAGAGAATTCCAGAGGCTCTGGAAGGAATTTTTTTTTTTTTAAGTAAAGCTTACACCACAACTATACTGGCCTATGGCCTGACCCAGCCATGAGTGATTTCCTGATACCATGTATGAGATCATTATAAAAAGGGTTTTACTATAAATAGGAAGCTCACACAGACCTTGCGAGAGGGATTTAAATAGAGAGGGAAATGGAGTCCCACTTTATAGAATAAGACAACAGGAGGGCAAAGACCTGAGTGGTATCTCGATGGCAGCGTCCATAATGATGGATCTGGTTTTCTGTTGATTAATGTCCATGGGCTGAGATCATATAAGAGATACAAGGAAGCTGCTGAGAAAATAAAGTGAGCCTTAAGCATTTAGGAATTGACCTGGGGGAGATAACTCGACAAAGTTCAAAGGGGGGAAAAATGGAAATCAAGAACAAAGTTCATGAAGAAACACACACACACACACACACACACACACACACACACACGAATAAATAAACAGAAGATAGGAGGGAGCATTCAAATCAAACCAAGAGAAAGGAAAAGCCAGGCCCCAAACAGCCCCACCATCACACTCAGTAAAGGTATTAGTGTACACTTTAATCAGGCCACGTGTTTCTGGCAAACAAGGCCCCAAATCTTCCACAAAACTACCACCTAGACAGGACTGTCTTTCCCCTTTCAGTCTGATCTCTGCGGCGATACGCCTGACACTCAAGAAAAGAAGGAGTGGCAAGGACAGTCTGGCCACCAAGCAACAGCCCCTCATCTGGTTCTGCCAAGACCGAAGCTGCGTCCCAAGTGTCCTAGGGAAATCGGAAGCAAGCCAGAAGTTTAGCCGCCCCCCCACCCCAATGGCACATCCACAAAAGCATGACTTCACATCCTGAGCAGACGCTCAGACCGCCTGCCAGGGCCTGGTGTGCACAAGCACACGACCATGCTCCGTGCCCACCACCCAGCCGTGCCGCCCAGCGGCTCTTTCTTCCAGGGCCTGCGAGTTGGGGTGTGCGGCCCTTGGGGAGCAGGGGGGGCAGTGAGAAGAGCCCTCCAGGAGGAGCCTTGCCTCTCCTCGCCCCCTCTCACTGGCTCCCCCACCACCCTCCACGGCTGACAGTTCCCATCCCTCCACAGGGCTGACCTGTTTCCATGGCAACCGGAATCCTGGGCTCCGGCAGCCTCTGGTCTTGCCACCTGTTATTACTTCATCTCTCAAGTGTAAAGCATCCTAGCCGGTGCCACTTGGCTGTGCAGAGCGCATCTTCAGAGGACGGAGGAAAGAAAAGGGGAGAGGATAGAGGGAACACAGAAAGGCAGCCCCAGGCTGGCCACACA